CAACCAATAGTGAAGTGAAATAAAAATAAAAAATGCTAAAAACAATTCTAACAAATAAATAACGGAAAAGTGGTGCGTGCATATGTATTCACCCCCTTTGCTATTCACCCCCTAAATAAGATCTGGTGCAACCAATTACCTTCAGAAGTAATTGGTCCCCCTCTGTGCAATCTAAGTGTCACATGATCTGTCACATGATCTCAGTATATATACACCTGTTCTGAAAGGCCCCAGAGTCTGCAACACCACTAAGCAAGGGGCACAACCAAGCAAGCGGCACCATGAAGACCAAGGAGCTCTCCAAACAGGTCAGGGACAAAGTTGTGGAAAAGTACAGATCAGGGTTGGGTTATAAAACAATATCCAAAACTTTGAACATCCCACGGAGCACCATTAAATCCATTATTAAAAAATGGAAAGAATATGGCACCACAACAAACCTGCCAAGAGAGGGCCGCCCACCAGAACTCACGGACCAGGCAAGGAGGGCATTAATCAGAGAGGCAACAAAGAGACCAAAGATAACCCTGAAGGAGCTGCAAAGCTCCACAGCAGAGATTGGAGTATCTGTCCATAAGACCACTTTAAGCCGTACACTCCACAGAGCTGGGCTTTACGGAAGAGTGGGCAGAAAAAAGCCATTGCTTAAAGAAAAAAATAAGCAAACATGTTTTGTGTTTGCCAAAAGGCATGTGGGAGACTCCCCAAACATATGGAAGAAGATACTCTGGTCAGATGAGACTAAAATTGAGCTTTTTGGCCATCAAGGAAAACGCTATGTCTGGCGCAAACCCAACACCTCTCATTACTCTGAGAACACCATCCCCACAGTGAAGCATGGTGGTGGCAGCATCATGCTGTGGGGATGTTTTTCATCGGCAGAGACTGGGAAACTGGTCAGAATTGGAGGAATGATGGATGGCGCTAAATAGAGGGAAATTCTTGAGGGAAACCTGTTTCAGTCTTCCAGAGATTTGAGACTGGGACGGAGGTTCACCTTCCAGCAGGACAATGACCCTAAGCATACTGCTAAAGCAACACTCGAGTGGTTTAAGGGGAAACATTTAAATGTCTTGGAATGGCCTAGTCAAAGCCCAGACCTCAATCCAATTGAGAATCTGTGGTATGACTTAAAGATTGCTGTACACCAGCGGAACCCATCCAAATTCAAGGAGCTGAAGCAGTTTTGCCTTGAAGAATGGGCAAAAATCCCAGTGGCTAGATGTGCCAAGCTTATAGAGACATACCCCAAGAGACTTGCAGCTGTAATTGCTGCAAAAGGTGGCTCTACAAAGTATTGACTTTGGGGTGGTGAATGGTTATGCACACTCAAGTTTTCAGTTTTTCTGTCTTATTTCTTGTTTGTTTCACAATAAAAAAAATATTTTGCATCTTCAAAGTGGTAGGCATGTTGTGTAAATCAAATGATACAAACCCCCAAAAAATCCATTATAATTCAAGGTTGTAAGGCAACAAAATAGGAAAAATGGCAAGTTGGTGAATACTTTCGCAAGCCACTGTACTTCGACTCCTTTTAGAAGTAAGAGTTATTTTGTACCTCCAGCCAATCGCAATCACTCTATTGAGACATATTGCAGACTCGTTGAAAAATATATTGCTTGATTTACAATCCGATATGTCAGTCCTTACCCGCCCTGCTGATAAGGGTGGGTCGGTTGTACTCATGGATAGGACAGTTTATGTAAATGAGTGTCACAGACAACTGCTTGACAACACCTTTTACAAGAAACTCAGAAGTGACCCCATTTCCCAATTTCAGAACACTATCTTTACTGTCCTAGATGGTTATTTAAGTTCTGGTCAAATCACCAAAAAATAACACAACTTTTTGGCTTTTCAACACCCTAAAATTGCCACTTTCTATACTTTGCCGAAATTACACAAGAATGTTACAAAATCTCCAGGGCGCCCTTTTGTAGCGGGCATTGATGCAGTAACGGCCTCTTTATCATTAATGCAGTAATGGCTCCTTTATAATTGATGCAGTAATGGCTCCTTTATAATTGATGCAGTAATGGCTCCTTTATAATTGATGCAGTAATGCCCCTTTATCAGCTACCCTCCGTTGTAAAGGACACCAGCAGTATGATCTCTATTGATTCTCTTGATCCTCTCCCTGAGAATACTTTGTTAGTTACTTTTGATTTTGAGTCGTTATACACGAATATTCCACACGAGGGCGGTATTGAAGCCAGTCAATTCTCAATCCTCTCAAAAACGTTTTCTTGCCCTAACATTATTATTTGGAAACGGTACATCTATGATATTTTTGTTATGTGGAGGGGTGATGCAAAACAGCTCCAGGCATTCCATGCTTTTCTTAACTGTTGTTCTGAGTACCTGAGATATACTATGCAATCTGACACACGTCAAATCAGTTTCCTTGATCTTGATTTTGTGTGAGGATAATGTTCTATACACTGATCTTTACAGGAAACCTACTGATCGTAACAGTTTGTTGAGGGCTGATAACCGCTTCCCTTGAAAAACAGTTTGCCCTACATCCAATTCTGTCGAATCAAAGGAATTTGCAAAAAAAACAATCAGATTTCGACAGAAATATGGCTGAGACGCAAAGCAAATTCAAGGAGAGGGAGTACAAAAATGGTCAGATTAATACTGCCATTGAGAAAATCCCAAACAAATCGAGACTTGACCTCTTTCAGGGACAGTCTCGCAAAAAGAAGCATTCTTGCTATTCAAAGTGCTCTGAACAAATTAAGGGAATCGTTCACTAACATTGGCACATTCTAAGATCCGATGACAGTATCGGTCATGTGTTTTCGGACCCTCCCTTGGTCGTATTCTCGCGGGGCAGAAATCTCAGAGATCAATTGGTAAAGTCTGATTTACCACCCCTAAATACCTCCGCACAACGTCCATTTGCGCCTCTACCGGATGGAAACTACAAGTGTAATGGCTGTGCTCAATGCAATGGCACCTATCAATCAATTTCAATCAATTTTATTTTATATAGCCCTTCTTACATCAGCTAATATCTCGAAGTGCTGTACAGAAACCCAGCCTAAAACCCCAAACAGCTAGTAATGCAGGTGTAGAAGCACGGTGGCTAGGAAAAACTCCCTAGAAAGGCGAAAACCTAGGAAGAAACCTAGAGAGGAACCAGGCTATGAGGGGTGGCCAGTCCTCTTCTGGCTGTGCCGGGTGGAGATTATAACAGAACCATGCCAAGATGTTCAAAAATGTTCATAAGTGACAAGCATGGTCAAATAATAATCAGGAATAAATCTCAGTTGGCTTTTCATAGCCGATCATTAAGAGTTGAAAACAGCAGGTCTGGGACAGGTAGGGGTTTCGTAACCGCAGGCAGAACAGTTGAAACTGGAATCATTTTACATTTACATTTTAGTCATTTAGCAGACGCTCTTAACCAGAGCGACTTACAGGAGCAATTAGGGTTAAGTGCCTTGCTCAAGGGCACATTAACGTCATTTAGCGGACGCTCTTAGCCAGAGCGACTCACAAATTGGTGCGTTCACCCTATAGCCAGTGGGATAACCACTTTACAATTTGGGGGGGGGGGGGTTAGAAGGAATACTTTATCCTATCCCAGGTATTCCTTAATGAGGTGGGGTTTCAAATGTCTCCGGAAGGTGGTGAGTGACTCCGCTGTCCTGGCGTCGTGAGGGAGCTTGTTCCACCATTGGG